TGAAAAAGGAGATGGGTCACTCTTTTCACTATGACCCTCATCTCACCATGAAACTTTTTGACACACTAGTAAAACCTATTCTGTTATACGGCAGTGAAGTCTGGGGTTCTGAGGTTTCTAAAAATGACCCTATAGAACTTGTTTATACCAAATTTTGCAAAATGTTACTCGGAGTGGGAAAATATGCAACCAATTCTGCCTGTTATGCAGAACTAGGTCGACTCCGTCTGCATGGAGCTGCAAACTTAAGATGCATATGATACTGGCTCAATCTAGTTACACCTACATCGAGCCATAAAATTACATTCTTAGTATATAAAGAAATGATAAGCTCCAGCCGTAAAATTTGCTGGAGCCAAAAAGTAAAAGAGTCATTATTAAAAAATGGGCTGGGTGATATATGGCTAAAAGTAAATTCCAATACCTCTCGCCAGCCAAACGTCTTTGTTACTATCAAAACGAGATTTGAAGACAGAGAGAAACAAAACTGGCTCGGGGAGGTCTTTAATGATAAAAGGGACACCCCAAAAGAACAAATTAAGAACGTATCTCCTCTTCAAAGTTAGTTATACGTTAGAACTTAATAAAGGTAAAAAAGATTTCACTCACAGAAGAGCCTTAACTAAGCTAAGAATAAGTAACCATGACCTAGAAATTGAAAGAGGCAGATACTCTAGTTACAAGAAGGTAGAGGAAAGGAAGTGCTTTCATTGTACTGATATAATAGAAGATGAAAGACACTTCCTAATTAAATGTCCTCTATACTCCAAACTTAGAGAAGAATTTTTCATGCAAAATAACATAAGTAACTCCCTTACAGAGGACCAATTGTTCCTGAGGTTGATAGATCCTCCCCATATTTTACAATCAGCTGCAGCAAAATACGTTTACAATTGTTTTGCTCTGCGTGTTGAAAAGAAAGCAACAACAACAAAACAAATAAAAATCAATACTTTTATAATATTGCATAAAGATGATTAGGATTAGTAACGCATTTTATCGAAATAATTAGATGAACATTTATATATACAGAATATATATGTACGTATGACGTGTATGTGTGGAATATGTGAATATAGATATTATGCACATACATAAACATACGTATATATTCGTAACTTATTTGGAACTAAGTTGATGTGCAATTATGTACAAAACGCCAAATAAAATATGTCTGTCTGTCTGTCTACTTCCTCTTCCCCTTCGCCACTACCCCCCCCCCCCCCCCCCCCAATTTATTTTAATCTTTATTGATTTTTCTTATTTTTTTAAAAAAAGATTTGCGTAGAAATATGCGATTTCTAACACGTTTCTTGTCATTTATTTTTGTTATACAGGACAAAATAGCGAGAACTTTACCACTGAACAGACCTTGGTATTAATCACTGGAGGATGTTTTATCTTTGGCGTTCTGGTAATGTTTATCGTCTACAGGTGTAAGCGAGATGTGGAAGCGTCTGTGCCGTCTGAGTCACCAGCTGGACATGTGTGTGGATACGAAGAATCGTCAGGTGAGAAAAAAAACCATGAAGTTAGTTACCCAAGGGAGTACTATGTTGATCTCCTTGGGATTGATGTATGTTTAACTTCTACTAAATGTAGAAAGGAATGAAGGTAGGTAGAATCTTAGCTTTTTATGGCTCAAGCGGTCAACAAATTCCGTGCCTTACCTTAGATCAGCCCAGATGTTGTTTCAGGGTTCTATCTGTGAGTTAGGCATTCCCTGACTTAGATCAGCCCACAGGTTATTTTAGGGTTCAATCTGTGAGTTAGCCATGCCCTGACTCAGATCAGCGCAGAGGTTGTTTCAGGGTTTTATCTGTGAGTTAACCGTGCCCTGACTTAGATCAGCCCACAGGTTGTTTCAGGGTTCTATCTGTGAGTTAGCCATGCCCTGAATTAGATCAGCCCAGAGGTTGTTTCAGGGGTCTGATCTGTGAGTTAACCGTGCCCTGACTTAGATCAGCCCACAGGTTATTTTAGGGTTCAATCTGTGAGTTAGCCATGCCCTGACTCAGATCAGCGCAGAGGTTGTTTCAGGGTTTTATCTGTGAGTTAGCCATGCCCTGACTCAGATCAGCGCAGAGGTTGTTTCAGGGTTTTATCTGTGAGTTAGCCATGCCCTGACTCAGATCAGCCCAGAGGTTGTTTCAGGGTTTTATTTGTGGGTTAGCCGTGCCTTGACTTAGATCAGCCCATAGGTTGTTTAAGGGTTTGATCTGTGAGTTAGCCATGCCCTGACGTACCCATTTTAATTGAAGGTTGTTCTTATGGGAACCCCTTTACTTACTTGTTATTTTGTTTCATACTTTACAAAGGAGGCACTGGTTTACCAATCATGGCTCAGATTACTGTTGCACGTAACATAAGCATCATCCAACTGGTCGGCCGTGGTCGATTTGGTCAGGTTTATCGGGCCAAATGGCATGAAGAAGACGTGGCTGTAAAGTCTTTTAATTCGAGTCAAGATGGATCGTGGAACAGGGAAACTGAGATATACCAGACTGTTATGCTTCGACATGAAAATATTTTAGGTTGGATATAAGATATTATAAAAGAACTGTTATAAATCTCGCATTCTGATTGGTTTGGAGCGCGTGCTTTACGAGAGTACACAGCACGCAAGCGCCCTACGCGTCGTGCTTCTCCTAACACTTCTCTCGTGTTCTGCCAATCCCCGTGTGCTTCATAACCGCACACAGCACGCGCGCGCGTTTTCTATTTCTTCATTTATGACTAGCACAGGAAAGATTGTGTGGATACAGTAGATTATTGCTGGAAAACGACGCGCTGTAATATCGGAACTAATAATAATAATTATTATTGTAATAACAACAATAATAATGATGATGATGATAATGATAAAAATCATCTTTGTCATTATCATCATAATATACAATAACAATGAAGATAATAATAATAACAATAATAAATATTAATTCTTATAGTGAGCCTCCTTATTAGTACAATTTTGTTACTACGTTTAAGATGCCACCTTAACACTAACATGATGGACGCCATTAGTCTAATGAGCGTTTCTTCGTGCTATCGTAGGGTTTATAGCTTCTGACACCAAAGACACCGGGTCTTACACACAGCTATGGTTGATAACAGACTACCACCAGAACGGTTCCCTGTGTGATTACCTTCAGAGAACGACCTTGGATGTGCCAGGGTTAATGAGACTTGCCCACTCCGCTGCCAAGGGTTTGGCCCACCTTCATAGGCACGTGATAGGAGCTAGTAATCAGGGCAAACCAGCCATGGCTCATCGAGATATCAAAAGCAAGAATATCCTTGTGAAGGATGACGGTGAGTTTGGCTGAATTACGTAAAAGCTAGGTTAACGATTTTACTCCAAAACCACTTGCCAGGGGCGGATTCAAAAATCTGAGAAAGAAGGGCCCGGTAAAATTCGTCGTTAATTTGACTTTCAAATCTCACCGCTTACTATGCAAAATAAAATCAGCTAACTCGCAGATCGAACCCTGAAACAACCTCTGGGCTGTTCAAAGTTAGGGAATGACTAACTCACAGATCAGACCCTGAAACAACCCCTGAGCTGATCTAAGTCAGGGCATGGCTAACTCACAGATCAAACCCTGAAACAACCTCGGGGCTGATCTAAGTCGGGGCATGGCTAACTCACAGATCAAACCCTGAAACAACCTCTTGGCTGATCTAAGTCGGGGCACAAGCTAAGCCAGATATAGTTTTGCGGCACGGAGGTTGGTTTGCGGCAAAAAAAAATAAAGCTTTGTAATCAAACGGACAAATGCAACGCAAATTTCTTAGGTAAACAGTAAATGACACCAAACATTTTTACACCATTAGGAACTTGTTGCATAGCAGATCTTGGGCTCGCCGTTCGAGGGACCTCCCAGGGTCTTGTTGATGTTCCCACGGGTACCCGTGTTGGGACAAGTCGTTACCTGGCGCCAGAATTCCTTGGAGATTTTGACACCGTTTCTTCTTTGGATGGCTATAAAAGAGGAGATGTCTACTCTTTTGCCCTGGTGTTATGGGAGATGACGAGACGGTGTGTTACCGAACGGGTCTGTGAGGAATACCAGCTTCCATATTATGACAAAGTTCCTGCGGATCCTAGCGTTGAAGAGGTTTATGAAGTGGTCTGTGTTGAAAAGTATCGACCTTACTGTCCAGATCGATGGGAACGACACCCGGTAGGAATGTGTGATTTATGTCAGAAAGAGAGATCTTTAAAGGAGGTATACTGAGAAAGAAGTAATTAAGGAAGACACGTTATTAAAGTATATAATGATGATGATGATGATGATGAGTGATAACGAGAATGATGAGGAGGAGGAGGATGACGATGATAAGAAGGATGATGATGAGAATGATAATGATGATGAGGACCATAAAGAAGATGATGAGGATGAGAAGGATGATGAGGATGACGATGTGGAGAAGAATGATGACGATGATGAGGAGGATAATGACCATGATGAAGATGATAATAACGGCTGATGAGATTGATGAAAGCAAGGTGGAAAGAGAGAGAGAGAGTATGGCGGGGTTGAAAGGAAATAAAATTGAAAGAAAAGAACGAAAAAGAGAGAGACGGAAAAGAAGGAGGGATAGCTAATTAGGGGGAAAAGGGGATAGCACGTGTATAGAAAAAGAAAGTAAAAACAATAAACTGTCACATTGAGGAAGAGATGAACGTATTAACCCGCGATCGTGTCGTTCGAAAGGGTGTAGGGTAAAGGGTGGTGGATTAACGGACGAATGGGTCCGCTGACGAGTTATAGGGTTCAGGGAAGAAAAAAAGTAAATGGACTGAAAGAAAAGAAGCTGATTGTACTACAATTAACTTTAACCTCGTCTTGTTGTACTGTATTTGCCATCAGACGCTGAAGAGAGTGTCAAAGATGACGAAGGAATGCTGGAAGGATAAGCCATTAAGTCGTCTTACGTGCATGCGTGTCAGCAAGTCCCTGAAAAACTACATGGAGGAGGCAGCTATGGATCAAGATGATGCCATCTAGATTTGCTTATAATAACTTCAGAACGGTGTATACAGTCAAAGTAATTAACGTTGTCCACCGAAAAAAGACATTTGAACATTTACACATTTAGACATTTAGACTAAAAGAAATATCACGTGTTTCATTATGTATTCTTTGCCTCGAGTGCGTCAGCCTGAACTTTAAATGTAAAATTCAGCTCGTGAATCGAAAATCCAGAATGCCCCGACCATTTAGTGAGTATTTAAGATGGACAATGGTATTTCAGACGGTTTGTTTTATGCCAGAACGTTCGAGGAAACGCGTGATATTTCTTTTAGTCTAAATGTGTAAATGTCTTTTTTCGGTGGACAACGTTAATGACATTGACTGTATACTGTTACTTAAACGGTAAACTGATTAAGTATTAACTTCAGTTCAGTTTGCTATTTAAACCTCAGTATGATACTGCTACTCCTTTACAAAGTTATACATGTTTCAATTGCGTGAAAGGATTGTGAGGACATCTATATAAGGTGCTTTATTCGAATTCCACTAGAAAATTGATAAAGACCTACAGAAAATAACGTACAAAATGTCAAAAAATATTCCATATGCATTCGGTTTATCAGACTTGAGTTGCGTTCTTGAAGACTGTTACATAGAAGCGTTAGCTTATCTTGGGGTATTTAAATACTCGTTTTTGTTTTCAAATATAATCGTTGTCTGTTGATCGTTGATTGAAGTGGTGAGTAATATCTTTAAACGAAAGGTTAAAAATCGTCATTGACTAATAATGACGCATGCGCAATTATAATCACTTTAAGTTGTTCGAATAAATGTTGAATCGATAAAACTATAGTTACATGTGTCATTATTAAACAATTTTCACATTTGCATTCAGATTAAAATCATTAATAGATATTTATAGTAGACCTTTTACTTGTTCAACTGAGAGATATTACCGCTTTGTTTCTTAATCACAGACTCATTTCCTCAGCGTTAGTCCGATTTCAGCGGCAACGTATTCGCAAATTTTAATTTCTTTTAACTTTTGGTATTAAAATACCAATAAAAAATTAAAAAAATGAAGAATACACAACTACAACAATAATACTAGGGGTAAATATTAACACTTTTAAAATTCCAAGGAGCTTCAATGGGACGTGAATATTCTACACAAAATTTAGGCGAAACCTGAGCAACATAGCCTCCTTCGCAGACGTTCTCAGTGTCAGTCACGCAACGTTTCCCTCCCCACGAACGTCTGCTTACTTAAGCATAACATTCCTTTCCAAAAATTGGCCAATCAGCATGAACCTCTTAAGATCGAGAAGGTCCCTTCTGATTGGACAAATGAGTTTTTGACTTCAAGACAACAAAAATGACGGCCTTGTATATTTTCAAATTAATGACAAACAATATAAGTAAGTTATATGTATGGTCTCTAGAAGGAATAGTGCTGATCCTATTTGATACATAAGTCATGATCACTGTGAGTGCAGTTCAACGATGTGCCAGAGGACGCATTTTCATTTCTGAAAATTGTAAGGAAGCATCATCACTAGGATAGCCCCAAACCACTGCCTTAGGGTTTGTACCCACTCCCGAATATTTGCCGTTTAAGTTAGAATGATGGCAGCTATTATACCACCAAGCCCCGGTAAAATAAAGAGCACAGTTGGCGCTGCTTTCATCATTATCTTGATCTTTTGTAGTAAATGCCATGTTGTTATGATAGGCAAGAGAATCCTTAGACGACCCTGAATATGAGCCTACATTCAGTCTGTACTTCTCGTTTTCATTGCCAACACTAAATCTACCATATTTGGCAAAGAATTTCAGTCCTGCCCAGTCCTCCATGTCAACGCGTAGAATCGAGGTTGTTTGTGCTGTCAGTCGATAGATGTAGTCATTACCCAACCAGAACTCGCCATTCAGGTTGCCAAAACCGGTTTTGTATTGCTGCCAGTCAAGATAAAAGTCGACTGATCCATCTCGTCTTCTCTGGAACACTGTCCACCCCCCTCCGTCAGTTGTCATGTCACAGTAGACTTGAAAGGCTCCTTGACTGTCGGGCCGTATTGTGTACACACCGCTTCGTCTTTCTCCTGATTTGTAGATATCTGAACAGTCTGAAGGATAGATATTTAACAGCACTTTAGCTTTTGAAACAAAAATCTTCGAGCCGGTAGAACTTGTGGCGGTACAAACGTACAACCCAGAGTCAGATTTCTGCACGTTTCTGATAATCAAAGAACCTTCTATGACTTCATAACGATTGACTGGAAGAAAGCTGTTGTCTCTAGTCCAGCTGACGACCGGCTGTGGTTCACCTTTAGCAGAACAGTTTAAAGCTAAATTATCTCCTTCGACGACGTCCATCGAAGAGGGAGGCGTTACAGTAAACACTGGAAGTGGGACTACGACCAGCATAGTAGATGATGTTACCGTAGCAAGACGATTCTTAGCGGTACATACATACAAACCAGAATCACTTCTTCTAGCATTAAAAAAAGTCAATTGACCACCTTGAATCAGAGAGCGATTAGTTGGAAGGAGACCAAGAAGTTTGTACCACGTGACCTGTGGTTTTGGGTGTCCTGTCACGTGACATATGGGTAGGGTTATATTGTCTCCTATTTTGACATGTGTGGGAACATTATCCAGGGTAAGTCTTGGTGGATAGTCCACCTCAAGTTTCGCTTTCGTCTGCACTTTACCAAAAATATTAGACGCCTTGCAATGATATTCCCCAGAGTCAGCAATTTCAGCTTTGGTAATCTCTAGTTTATCAGTTTCATGAATTACTGTTCTAGAGGTAGACAATGAACCATTTGCGTTACTCCAAACAATAATAGGCTTTGGATAACCCCTTGCAGAACAATGGAAAATGGCTGATTCACCTTCTTTTACAGATAAATGACGAGGAGAAATCACAACTGATGGAGGTTCTAACGAAAGACCGCGGTCACCTTTCTGTCCTGGCATGCCTTGCGGACCTGGAGGACCATTTTGTCCTGGATCGCCTTTCAATCCAGGAACTCCTTGCCTGCCTATTTTGCCTCGTTTACCCATTGGTCCTGATGGTCCTTGGGATCCTCTTGGTCCTTGGGATCCTCTTGGCCCCTTTTTTCCTCTTTTACCTCGACCCCCTGGTGGACCTCGAGGCCCCCGAGGCCCTGGTAAGGCAACAAGATACTTTATTGCAGCGATTGCTTTACTTATTTTTTGTTCCATTATCTGCGTCATTTCATCTCTAAGGTTTTCAATTATCGTTTGATTTGGTTCTGAAGATTTGCCCATGAATGAAATTATACTGCGTCTGTTCCGATAGTGTTTCTGATAATCAAGTTTATCACTCACAACAACTCGTTCCTTCTTGTCTTTCACTAGCCGAGATTCCATTGAAGAGGTCAAAATGTTCTCAAGACGATATATTCTCGTGTTTTGTTCATTAAGAATTATCTCAATACGTACAATCTCGCCACAGCACAACAGCACAGCAATTAAAGAAGCGAAGACGATAGTGAATGTCGTGGACATTTTCCTCGAAGAATGAGATTTCTCCTGCTTCATTTTTAAGAAGACGTTTCACAACAAGCCGCTCTCGCAGTTGAACTTGTAATATAAACTACAGTATTGAATGATCATATAGTTTCAAAACGTAAGCAGACGTCAACTGATACCTAAGACGGATGACGTCATCATTATTAGTGTAAGCTTTATAGGTAAAGGCTTATTCCCACAGATGTGTCAGCTGATCTTAGCTTCGGAATATTTTTTTGCGGGGTTCGCCACAGGTAGCCAAAGTAGTGTACTTGAAGCTCAAAAATAAGTTAGTTTAAAATACCTGAAATTGTTTACAAAACTCCTCAATAAATTTATATTCAAGTTAGTTTATCGATATACGCAGTCTTTATTACCTTTCGAAGTCATTTCTGATGAGGACAATTCACATTTCTAAAAATACCTCTAAATGCCGGCCATGCATGAGGTTAAGTGGAAAGGGAGGTCATCTGAGTATAACATAACATATTTTTTCGGGCTGCCTATCACTAAGTGTTGCTGAAAAAATATCAGAGATGGTATCCTATAATTTATAATATACTTTTGATATACTTTTGTGTGTGTGTACACTTATTTCAATAAAGTTAGTCGCCTGAAAAGCTGAGACCAACAAGGATGATGGGTAGTTACATTTTACATGTTTCAACCGCTTTAATAACTTTTGATGGATTTAATCTTTTACCAGTTACAGTCTTACCTCTTCTGAGCATCCTCAAGCTGCAAATTGTATCAAAAGCTTTACTTGTTTGATATTAAGTTTCCCATGATCCTCAGTGATCTCAGCTTTCTAGGTTTTTTGGTGACTAACTTTATTGAAATAAGTGTATATATATTTGTGAGATTGTTAACAATATAAAAATAAATGAATGGGAAAAAAGAAACTTTGAATATTAAAACAGATCCAGTTAAAAATATTGACGAAAGTTATATCTCGTTTACTTAAAAATCAGGGGAGGGTCACGGATTTCTTACTGATTAAAAGGGGGGGGGGGKGGGCTACGATAATTTAAAAAGACGTTTATTGCGGATCCAGCTCTCTCCCTCCTCCCATGAAAAAACGTACCTTCTCTAAATTTATAATCGTCAATAAAATTATCTCACTAATGCTTGTGAATTAATAAGAGTTGTTCAACGGATTTGATTCATCATGACTTGTTTTTTTGGGATTAAATCTGGGTCAAATTATGGTGGTGCCGCACCTCTCCTAGAGGCGTTGACCTTATGTCACACATGACAGCAACGCTTCATTTCACTTCACTTCCTTCAGGCATTATATTGCAAAGAAACGATCGTAGTTTTGCCAGCATTAAAGACGGTAAGTAACTTAGATGTAACATTACTACAGTTTTCGATATTCTGCGAACTTGGTAGTTACAAGCTGCACGCTGAAATTTGGTTTTTCGCTGCCGTCAATCAAAAATAATCAGTCGGTACCTTTTATGTTCTTGACTGGCGGCAGTAAAAATTCAATTTCAAAACAAGCCGTTGGAATGTAATGTCGCAGAATATAGAAAACCACAGTTTGTCGAAATTATCCAGTAGATTTATAACAGGAATTTACGTGGCCCCGCAGAGTTATACCATATCGTTAACTTTTCGGGTTCCGACGATCCTTATTACGGGTGAGCACTGAGAATAAGATGTTTCTCATTCCTCGAAAATAAAAGTAGTATTTACACGCGATGGAGTAAAATTTCTTTGAATATAATGTTTTGCTTAAGAGAAAGATACTCCTATATTATTTTATTATTTTACGAAGGACAAGTACGGTGATGTCATAGCTTTCACTAAAGCTATATACTTCATTAGTTATTGCATTTTAAAATTTTATCTAAACTAAAATTAATAATACGTGGCGATGTTCTTGCTTCTACCTTTTCGCTCCTCTTTTGCTTGATTTGTTCGTTCCACCCTTTCATTTTCGTTTTTCCTTGCCCTTTTTAAATGAAAAAAGAACTTCCTCTCCACTCTCGACCTCCTCTCTCCATTTGCACCAGCCAACCCCCTCTGATTAATGCAAGGCCAGTCCCCTTACAGCAAGAATTTTCTACTATACGCCAAATCTATTAAGTTTTTTGTTAGTCAGTTCTTTGTGTATATCCTTTCTCTCAGCTTAACGATGACTTCAGTGTGGCGACCATTCCCGTGGTGTTTCCATGCCATGTTATTACTTCAGTATAACAGCCGAATGTGTCTGGACACAGGATTCACCCATTGCTGGCAGTAAGTCATACAAAATTTATAGTCCACTAGCTACAATCACTTACAAAAATCACTATTGTTGACCATTGTTCTTTCTTCCAATATTGATGCTATGAAGTGACTGCGCGTGCATGGCGAACTGAATCACAAATATTTTTTAATGCACTTTTTATCCTTTAATGGTATATAGAGTGTCACATTCAAACAGAGAGGATTGGTTGTTTCAAAGATGCCGTGATCCCGTCTCGACCAATCCCTGTGCTCCTTTTCACCGACCGTGACCCAACTAGCCCAGTATACACTGGAGGTTTCATTGACTTGAAAAACTGGAATCTGTACATGGACGACCTAAAATGTCGATGCTCCGAGGAGGCTAAAGGGAAAGGGTACAAGGTGTTTGGCTTGCAGTGGTATGGTATGTATATATCCGCGTATTAGGTAAATATGCTTAAGCTTGCTTTTACCCAAATGGCTCATGAGCGCGAAGAAACCTTGCAGCCTTCCGTTCCCTCACTCCCCCAAAAAGAAAAGAATGGAAAAAAGACATCCCGATTTACGATTTAGTCCATTGAGTCCGGCAACTGTCAGCATATAAGATTTCGCAAGGGTATATCAAAGTAGAAGTAACTGATGGCATAAGAATAGAAAAATATGACAGTGATGTTAAATTAAATTTTCAGGCGAGTGCTGGTCTGGGCCGAAGGCACATGAGACTTACAACATCAACGGACCTTCAGATCAATGTGTTACTCATGATCTAGCTCACTGTACTGATGAGGAAGAGGAATGCGTTGGTAGAGATTTTGTCAACTTTGTTTATGAAATCATAGGTGAGTTTGAAATGTATAATATCTATGTATAAGTTATCGATCGAAACTTGAAACTCTAGGCTTTTGTGAGATTAGTAAGTAAACCCGGCCATAACCATCTCAAACCATGCAGTATAAGAAACAGCTCGATTCTTCGGAATTAGAACAGCATTGCCTTAGTTTTAATGCTGAATTAAAGCGAATAATAGATAACGAAATACTGTAACAAAGTAGAAAGTGTTATGTGGTTACGCTGGGATTTAATATCATGGTACACAGCTTTTACAAAAAAGGTTGAATACTGAATACTGCATAMTGAATAGTGCATTCCAAGACCAAAGTGCATTGTGGGTCATAGTGACATTGTCTAAAGTAGGATTAACAATAATTATTTATTTTATATTTAGTGTACTCCATCTGAAACAATATACTAACTAACAATGACCTTTGGTCTTAGAATGCACTATTCAATATGCAGTATTCAGCATTAAACCTTTTTTTTAAATAGATACATGTATACTGAGTTATAACTGCTTTGCTGTAAGTGTGAGACATACTTTACTTCAAGTGTGACTTAACATTTTGAACAAATGAACCGCGAAAGACCCTACACTGGAACATGATAGGAATGCTTCCATAAAGTGGGCCTTCCTTGTCTTAAATCTAGTTAGAATCCAGAAATTAACGTTTACGGGCGAGGGCAAACTAAACCGCCATGACAAATGCCCAGAAAACCTCCTTTGAAGCATGAAAAAGAAAAGGAAAACAATTTGACGAGAACGATTTCAAACAATACTGCAAGTTCGATGATAATGATATCTAACACAGTTTTAAAAATTTCGAATTCTTTGCAGCAGCAAATGCCAGTCATAATGCTTCAGGGAAGCACATCCATAACCATACATTGGAACACAATGAGACGCGAATTACTACAGGATATAATAATACTCATCTCCATGGGCAGATCCATCACCACGTGACACTTACTACACCAGCACCAACGACAGCACCTAAACCTTCACCAGAACCTACCATTCCACCAACACCAACACCACCACCGCCAAGCCCTTCACCTGTTTATGTACCCTGTCAAAGTGGTAAGTGACATTGAGCCTGTATTCACAAATTGATACTTTTGCTATCAATCGAACAAATTTGTAGGTAGCTTCTAATGATCTTTCCTTTCTGGCTCTTAATATGATATTTATTTAGCATTTTGGCTGTATTTGAAATTTGGTTATCTTATCGCTTTTACTCCCCTCCACCCCCCCCCC